AACTTCTGGAGGCAAGTTGTTCAAGAGATTAATTGTTCTAACTGTCAGGAAATTTCTCTTCAGTTCTAAGTTGCTTCTCTCCTTGATTAGCTTCCACCCATTACTTCTTGTTCTACCCTCAGGTGCCTTGGAGAATAGCCTGACTCCCTCTTCTTTGTGGCAATCCCTGAGATATTGGAACGTTGCTATCATGTCTCCTCTAGTCCTTCTTTTCATTAAACTAGACATACCCAGTTCCTGCAGCCATTCTTCATATGCTTTAGCCTCCAGTCCCCTAATCATCTTTGTTGCACTTCTCTGCACTCTTTCTAGAGTCTACACATCTTTTTTACAAAACTGAATCCAGTATTCCAGGTGTGGCCTTAACAAGGCATTATAAAGTGGTATTAACACTTCACATATCTTAATTCTATCCCTCTGTTTATGCAGCCTAGAACTGTGTTGGCTTTTTTGCCAGCTGCTGCACACTGCTGGCTCATATTTAAATGGTTGTCCACTAGGATTCCAAGATCCCTCTAGGATTCACTAGGATTCCAAGATCCCTCTCACAGTTATTACTATTGAGCAAAGTGCCACGTATACCATACCTATGCATTTTGTTTTTCTTGCCTAAATGCAAGATTTAAAAGCAAAGGTTTATCGCTGCTGAACTATATAAAACACCTTACCTTAGTTAGGCATTGACAAGATCAAATGATTTTTATCTAGTTTTAAAACATTAGCCCGATTATCTCTTTAGAAACTGTTAAAAAGCATTTTTACAGGGTTTTTTTTGGATTACACAGGAATTCCTGACCATAACCTACCAATTAAATGTTTATAAGGCAGCTGATGGCTTCTCAGATTCATGTGAGCAATATGGCCAATTCTGCTAAAGGCTGTGGTGATCTCCTGGCCTTCAGGTAGCACTGCTTTCAGAATTTCTTCTGTCTTGAAATTATCATAAGTGAGTTCCATCTTGTACTTGACTACTTCAGGGTTAATACCAAGGCTTTTTAAGATCTGCTGCTCGGATTCACCCAGAGAACCGTCAGCAGATATTTTATGTGGGTCTAACAAAATGTACTTTCTGTTTTCATCCTCGGGGTCTTCAACGACTCTCTTGAGACCTGGTCGCTTGAGTAGTACTCCTTTAAGAGACTTCAGCAGATTGCTTGTTACGTCTTTGTTAACTAAAAGAGCTGGGATGATAATATCATTTTTGAAAGCAGTTTTGTCAAGGGTGGTCATTCCACGTACTCTGGGATGCGGCAAGAATCCATCAAGGTCAGGTTTTTTATCAGCCATGTCCTGCAGGGTGAAGAAACGTTGTCTTTGACTTTGAATTTTTGGAAGATGTTCAGGCAATCGATTAAAAGACCAGTTCCAAAGCGTCCACAGTGTTGGAAATAATGTTTCTGATTCAAAATACTTCACTTTCGGGAAGCAAGGGAATAAGCTTTTGAATTGCCTTAAAAATCTAAAAGAAAAAGTGTTCATTTTTAGATATTACTCAGAGAAAAAGTACAAGTTTGCAAGTCTGTACGGCACTCATAAACTATTTGTATAAGAAAGTCTAAACCCAACTTTAGGTTATGCAAGATTTGATGTAATAGCAAACTTCACAGAAGATTGATCAAAAAATCATACTCACTCATTTTAGGTGTCTTTAGTGCTGTCTCAGCTTGGGGATTTTCTTACAGACACCATCAGCACTAATGATGCTACCTAGTTTGATACTGACTGAAACATTTGCAAGAAAACCACCAAGCTCAGAGAGCACCAAAGACTACACAGTTCTACCCTGAGCTAAAAATATTCTCTTCTATTCTCTTGGAAGTTCCCTACTAGCCATAGCTTCCTTTCTTTATCCAAAGTGGCAAATCATGATTACCATGTTCAGAACAAGCCAAACTTCTAAACCAAGTTTGAAGGATGGTTTAAAATATTGGCTTGTTCTAGACCTTATAGTCATAATTTTAGTAATCCCAAAATTACAGTTAAAGGGTTTCTGGTAAGAGAAGGCAAAATAAAATATTCTCCTACACCAGGAGCGTCAAACTCGCATCATCATGACATCATCACGTGGCGTATCTGGACTCCCCCCACCTTTGCTAAACCGGGTGGGGGCGTGGCCAGACAGACTTGCTCTACACAAACAAAAAACTTGCTCATATTGACTTAATAAACATTTTGCTGTTAAAAGAAATGTAGTCCTTGCTTAATGTCCATTTGTTCAGTGATTGTTTGACATTATGATGGTTATAAATGAACAGACTTAGAACCAGTCCTCAAACTTCTGGTCCCTGCAGCACTCCATAGTCCCATGAACAAATCTAGGTGAACATGGGTCTACTCACATTTACGACTGACTTTTGGTAACCACTTTTGTTACCAGCTACCCCTTCAACCTGACCCTACCTACCTCCATTGAGCTTGGGCGCCTTGCACACTACTGTACTAGTTGGGGCCTTCTTACATGCCTCCTTTTGCCTCAATTCAGCCAGGGCTTCTCTCATGCACCAGCCAAGTCTTCTCATGTGCGCTGGCCAGAGCCTCCATTCATGTGCTGGCCCAACTGTCTGTACCCAGTTTCATGATCAGATGCCAACTTAAATTATTTGAGTTCTCAAAACATGGGTAAGCTTGAAATCAGACAAACTATCTATAGCATCAGATACAATAAAGTGCAGGTAGTCCTCAACTTACAACCATTCGTTTAGCGACCGAAGTTACAGTGGCACAGAAAAAAAATGATTTATGGGGTTTTTTCACACTTATGACCATTGCAGCATCCCCATGATCATGTGATCAAGATTCAGATGCTTGGGAACTGGTTCATATTTATGATAGTTGCAGTGTCCCACGGTCATGTGATCATCTATTGCAACCTTCTCAAAGGTGCTTTTGCAAAGAGCCTTCTACAATCTGGTGCCCCCACTATGCATTATAAGGCAGACGGAAGAACGCTGTTTTAACCACCGATTTCTCCCTTCGGGCAGGGTTTAATTTCAACGCTCCCTCCAAATTTGATCCCTTTGGAGTGTCTCTTGCAACACGTGCAACGTGCATCTGCCTTCCTTTCGGAGAAAAGCGACTCTGCAAAGAGAGAAGGGGACGGTCTGCAGAGGAGAGCTCGACGTGGGTTCCTCGTATTCAAGACCCCAATTCCCCCTCTCGTGCCCCCTATTGAAACGAGGGCAGAGAAAAGAGGCTCTTCCCGCCTCCCCCGGCCTCACCTCATGCCGGCCTGGCGCCGGGTTCCCTTCGCTCTTTCCCCCCAGAGCAGCCCGGCCTTCCCGGCCTCATCATCACCCGTCGCCGCGGCGAAGGGCGGAAGGGGGCGGTGCGGCCCGGACTTCCCGCCCTCAGTCTGGTTCTGGGAAGGGCCGTGCACCGCCTCCTCCTCTTCCACCTCGCCCGGCCGATCGTAAGGACCGGCTGATTGAGAAGCGGCGGTGGCTGCGGTTATTGCAGCCTTTATTCGCCCGGCACACCATGGAGCAGCCGCGAATCTGCAGTGTCAATTCCGAGCCGGGATGGTATTTGTCGGCTCAGGACCTGGAAGAGGGAGCCCCGCTCCTCTCGCCCCCGGACACGGTGCGTGTCGGGCTTGGGGGCTCTCGGGGTGCGGGGACGCGCGGCTTTCTCAGGCAGCCTTGCAGGCTTTTCCCTTTCTTTCTCCCTCCCTCTCTCGCTGTCTGACTAGCAGGAACCGCACTTTAACCCAGTTTCTGAATGAACTCATTTTCTGGGTTGGCTTAATACACTGAGCCACGGGCTATCCCAGTGTTTGGACCCTAACTCCAAAAATCCTAGCTGGGGAATTTGGGGAGGTCCCCACATCTTAAAACTAACCAAATCGGATGCAGAACAATGCTGAACCGCTAGAAACAAGGGTTAAGTCTTACCAAGCTTAATATCTACACATGTGCAGACACAGCTAAGGGTAAACACAAAGGTGAAAAACACCTAGGGTGAGTCAGGGTGAAGAAGTCACATGGTATGATTGCCATTACTAGGTAAACTTGTTAGTATGGGAAATCACACTGCTTTATTGCCCCTAAGTCTTCACAATAGCATCCCTTTCAAATGTGTTAGGCTACAGTTCTAGTGGCCTCCCTAGTGGAAAACGTTTAATCTAGGCAATGAGAGCCAGTTGGTGTAATGGATCAGACACCAGATTAGAAACAGGGAGATTGAGCTGTAGTCTTGTTTAGGCATGAAGCTGGCTGGAGGATGTTGCATTAGTTTGCTCTCTCTTGGCCTTAGGAAGAAGAAGGCAGTGGCAAATCACTTTTGAAAACATTAAGCAAAAGTACATGATGTTTCCATGCAGGTGCCAGAAGTCAAGACCAATTTAAAGACACTTTGAAAAAAAATTGAGGCACTGGAAAATTTACAATTTTATAGGGAAAAAATAGCATCTACTGTTGCCACCAAACTTACATTTCACAGCATCTTAAAGCCTCACTGAAAGTGCCCTATTACCACAGAAGCAAGTAATGCAACACAGATCCTCCCCACTTTATAATTTTCCAATCTATCCAGATGGGTTATTCCACATGGTTATGTCTCCTAGAACTTTCCAACCCTGTGCAATCCATAGAATGGGTAGATGTTCTTGTATACCCATAGTGATAGTACACATATCTTTTGCAACAAAGATTTGCTCCATGAATATCCCAAATGCATCTTCATAAAGCCACATAGCACAAATGCATCCATGTATGCATATTATGCTACATGCTGTGCTACAATTGTTTTTCATAGATTTTTGGGAATTATTTCATTCAAAACCTATCTATTTTGAATTCTTAGGGTATGCTTAATATAAACATACACATTTAATGCATATTTTAAATCAGCTCCCATTAGAGCAAAATATTTGTATGTCAAACATGATTTAAGATTACTGAGAATTTGTGCCTGTTAATTGGTTTCTTTCATATTTGGTTTGGCCTTGAAAAACTATTTAAACTAGATTAAGAGATCTGAATGTAACAATGCATTTGGTTCTAACATTTGCAGGCATCGCTGAATCATGTATCAACTGGCACCTCCTTTGGCTTTTCTGTATTTAATTTAATGAATGCTATTATGGGAAGTGGGATTCTTGGTTTGGCATATGTCATGTCCAAGACAGGAATCATTGGATTCAGGTATGTTTTTATTATCAGTTCTATTTCTGAGTATTTTAAAAACTTTTATTGTGGTCTATATTTACTCTTATGTTTAAGAGTTGGGATTTTAAAAAACTTAAATGAAACTGATTATTTTAAGAATAAAATAACTAAAACTGAACAGGCAGGTTGAGAGAATGTTAAATTCTAGATCCCTCCTCTAATCTCTAGTGGTATACTATTGGACATTGAATGAATCAATTCAGCCTTGCAGATATATCAAGTAATCTTAACTTTCCTCCTACAATGATAGCAAATCAATGAAATTATATTTTAGTGTAATGAATAAATCCAGTTCAGTTTGATTTGGCAGTGCTTCTATGTGACTGAAGGAGGCCATCATCATTTTCATTAGAAGTGCCAAACATTGTATCTAGGGCCTTCTTAATGTAGAAAAGTCCTTCTTTCTTCATATTCTATTCACTAAAATATTCCAAGTTAAAGTTCTGTAATTGCCTATGTAAAACCAGGTTTTGGCAAATCACTTTTCAGTTATGTGCCCAAATTGCACAAATATTTGTTTCAATGGGTGCATATTGTAAACACTTTTTTGGGGTGTGTGTGTGTCTTGGGATTAATGATTTACTTTGCTGTTCAAGGTTTATACAGCTAGATACTGTGATGATTAGTGAGCAAACATATAGCTGATATTTATTGTTCCTCTGCTCATTGGTATCTGCTCATCACAAAGATAAAATACAATCATTTAAAATACTTTAAATGTTAACAAAGTGTATGTTGTAACAAAAGATTTGTTATTTTTGCTATTGTTGAGTGAGACATAAAAGTTGCTAAATTCAGTATTAGAGAAAAAGGAGAACATGGAAAAAGGAATTAGCAGGCATGTGCATCATATTCTATTTTTTAAGATACAAAACAAGGAAATATGTCATGGGTTGTTTTTTTTTGTTCTTGGTTGTTTGGGGGAAAATGTAGCTTTCAACTCTCCATTTTAGTGGGAAACAATGATTGATGACATTGACATTCATTATTTCTCTTTTTATCCTAGTGTGCTGATGTTAATTGTTGCTACCCTTGCATCTTATTCTATATTTTTGTTGCTTACTATGTGCATTTACACTGGTAAGTAAAATGCCATAGAGTTTTAAGAAGCTATGTATAAAACTTCATAAGTCTTTAGAGGGGCAAAATAGAAATATATTCAGATTTTACAAACTACATTTCACTAGTCACATCCTGAGAATAGTCTGTGCAATACAGGCAAATAATTAAATAACCTTATAACATTACTACAAGGCTCAGCAGTCTTTTTAGATGGTGACACTGTTTAAAAAACATGGCTACCCATATATATGTATATTCATATGTACATACATATACATACACACATACAGGGCAAATTACATCATTATTGTTGCCAAGAAAACTGTATGGATATATCTCTGTAGTTGTTGATGATGATGATGTTATCCATTCATCCACATAATCTGAATTGTTGTTTATCAGGACTATAAATTATTACTGCTGATTATATATCTGATGAAAAATACTTTATCTTTGTGATCTATAAATCAAGATACACATTTTGTCTTAAGTCTATTTCTGGAATATTTTCAAGAACAAGTTCCGAATGTTGTTTTTATTTAATATATTCATTCGGTGAGATGATAGGATTATGTATATGCTTTAGAGCTGTTTTAACATGGATGGTCCTTAAAACAGGATTTGCTGCATTTTGACAATGCACTTATCACATCTTTTCTTTAGAATTTAATTTGCTGCTCTGGGTTAGAAAGGAGCTAAATATCTTGCTAGATGTCGTGGACATTGCAAAAATAAATAATCTCTATCTTGGGCAAATTTTCACCTGAATTTTAGAAGTTTAGACATACAAGTGGAGATATGTTGGAAAAAAAAGAAATATGAAGAAAAGACATAGAGGGGCATGTCTTTTGCGGAAGTGTGAATGCTAGTAGTAGAATGAAGTCCTGAAAAATTGGGTACAATGCAATTAGTGAGCTCAAACATTAACTACAACTTTTGGACTAGTTATCCAATAAGATGGGTATGATAATTTAATATGATGGTTATCCAAGTTTGTCTAACCACTGATGCAACAGAACATGCAAATAAGATGTGCTGCGTTGCAGTTAGTGATAGGACTACCAAAGTTGGAAAATACAATTGGATTGTATGGCCTAGAAAACAGAAGTTAAGAATGAAAATCAGTTTCTGCCCATCCAATTATTTTTTCATTGATAGCATGTTCTTCAAACTGACCCCTGTAATGAACATTGCCAGATGGAGTACACAGACATTAAATTGGATAAGTTATTGGTACAAAGAGGTGGAAAAACTCAAGTATGTTAGCAAATAAATTGTGAGAGGTTATAGAACAGATCATGAACTGCTCGTGGTTAAGTTCTAAATCAAGCTAGAGCAAAACAAAGGTTTCCATATGCTTCTGTGGAGACAGCTACAAAATATGGAATCACTAGGAAGTCCTGAATGTCACTGATAAAGAACCAGAGAAACTGTGCAATGAAATTAAGGAGATTGTTAAAGAAAACTGTGAAAAAAGATTTCTAAAGTCAAAGTCAAGAAAGCAAAATTCTCAAGAAGGAATTTAATGAAGAGTACTGTATCAGAAAGTAATTAGAAAAGACAAGGAACAGTATTTCAACTTGTATGAAAATATCAAAGAAAGAAACAGAAAATCATGACAACTATGTACAAAGTACCTCTGAACTCACGAGGACACTAATGAAAGTACTAACTGATTTAAATTAGAGGGAAGGAGTATAGTGAAATACTGTACAGTAGAGATCTCAATGTAAAAATAAAAGATACTGCTTATTTACAAGAATTGCTAGTACTTGAAAATTAAATTAATCAGCACTCTGATGATTAAATTCCTCTAAATTAAATCAAATCAAAAGGCTAGAGGAATTTGTAGAACGTTTGTGAAAAAAACAGTAAACAACAGAAGAAGGATCCATAAAAGTTCTGACCACCAAACAATGACAGGAAATTGGTAAACGACAGTGATCAATAAATTGGAAGCAATTGATCTTCATACCAATACCAAGAAAGGTGATTCAATAGAATGTGCAAAGTATCTCACAATGTCCTTTTCTGCCCTCACCTCCCAATGTTAGAGGGTAATTATCACAACTGCCACGACACAACAAAGCAAAGCTTAAAAACATCAAAACTCACAGTCATACCAAGTCACTGGTTAACTTTGGATGGCATTTAGAACTTAGCTCTTCTTCACCCAAGCCCTTTTATTTTACCCGCCCTGTGTCAGAGATAAGAGAGGGAAAACAGTCTGGGATTATTTTAATTATTCTGTTGTTACAATTCATCCATTCAGCTTCCCCAGTTGTTACTGGCTATCTTGTCACACTGTTCTATCCTGTTTCAATTTTAATTTCTGGACTTCTGGGCCTTTACTTTTCTATGGAATAGGTTTTTTTTTCATGTTTGGTTTTCTTCTCTTCTTCATACTTCTGGTTCTCTATAGCTATCTCTGACTAGTCAACTTTTCCTTGGCTCTTCCTCCTATTCTCCATTTGATCTGCACTCTTAAATATTCAAGAGGTAAGATCTTATTGTTATATGTAAATTATTATTTATTCAATCCATTGCTTCTCCATAAATATTTCCCTCTGCAATATTTAGAAAATTAATCCTGCAGTTAACGTGCAATAAACACATTTAAAAATTACAGCTAATCAATAAAAGCAGCAGTAAAACAATCTTGTTGAAAGCTGTCACAGCTTAACTTTGTCAGATTGAGAATGCTTTTAGAAGTAAAACCAGCAAATAGTGGAGGCTGGTAAAAATTGTCTGTGACTTTTTATCAAGCCTCTTGATAAAAAATAGGCATATTAAATCCCTTCTATTTATTTCCGTGATTTTGCAATATTGAGCATGCTAAACTTGGGAACAAGCTCCAATGGATGCCAGAAGCTTTACTTCTGATTTATTTTGCGTCTGAGGATACCTGACAATACATGAAAAAAAATCCCAAAATAAATAGTAGCAGTTTTACATTGAAAAGGCTATCACTGCAATGCATTCTCAAAGATTTGTACCCAAGATGTGAAGTTCTGAGCCATTTACCCCATTTTTTAAAAAAGAAAATATTTGTTAATCACATTTACAGGGCTGCCCATCACACAAAAAGTGACTCTCAGTGACATAAAAAATTAATTTGACAAAATGTTTCCTTGTTCTGGCATAAATGAAATGCTCAATGGTGTTAGCCTCACAAAATATTTACTATGAAAATTATTTTGTAAGGTATAAGTTTATTAACCTATAAAAGGCAGTGTATGCAATGGTGCATAAATGTGACAATACAAGACATTTGAGAGGTAAATTGATGGTTTTGGTGCAAAGCATTGTTTCTCAACATTATTAATTTAAGAAGTATGGACTTCAACTCCCAGAATTCCCAAGATAGCATCCTGGGGAATTTTGGGATTGAAATCTTAAAGATACTGAGGTTGAGGGACACCAGTGTTATCTGTATTTCTTACGTCAAGCTTTTAATGTATTTGCCTTAACCATTTCTCATTTCCTTTCTATGTTTTGAATAACGTTGCTTAACCCTAAATGGAATATATGATAGATATGCATGTATGTAAAATTATTCTTAGAATATGTTAACTTCTGTGTATAGTGTATAGTATCGATGTAATAAACATTTAATTAACTCCAATGTTTGCAGAGCTGATACTCAAACATACTGCTCTCCCCAATACAGTTTTTTGTTGGGATAAAGCACTTTTTAAATTTTTTACTTATGACAACAGTTGTGTTTCTATTTTGTAACAATTACTGTCTCCTAATTTTTAAAATGAGGAATTTATTTTGTTTTGGCTTGCAAGTGATTATAACATTGTGTAGGAAAAGAAAAACCAATATTTTGGGTTTTTTTCCTTGTGGGGGGAAATACCTTTCTTTTAAAGTAAAATTAATATGTTAAGCTGACTGGAAACTTACAATACAATACAATAATACAATACAATAGCAGAGTTGGAAGGGACCTTGGAGGTCTTCTAGTCCAGCCCCCTGCTAGGCAGGAAACCCTATACCATTTCAGACAAATGGCTATCCAACATCATCATAAAGACTTCCAGTGTTGGGGGATTCACAACTTCTGGAGGCAAGCTGTTCCACTGATTAATTGTTCTAACTATCAGGAAATTTCTCCTCAATTCTAAGTTGCTTCTCTCCTTGATTAGTTTCCACCCATTGCTTCTTGTTCTACCCTCAGGTGCCTTGGAAAATAGTTTGACTCCCTCTTCTTTGTGGCAACCCCTGAGATATTGGAACGCTGCTATCATGTCTCCCCTAGTCCTTCTTTTCATTAAACTAGACATACCCAGTTCCTGCAATCATTCCTCATATGTTTTAGCTCATATCAGAACTGAAAACCTTATTATTCCTTTAAAAAAAAGACCAGAATCAGCTACTAAATTTCAATAGTTTAGGTTTAGAGATTCAAAAAAGGAACTAGTGGTTTTTGCTAATTAATCCTAAAATGCCTGAAGAACTTTTCATTTACACACACACACACACACACACACACACACACACACACACACACACACACTTTATAAAACTGTATTTTGCACTGAAAAAAACTCACAAATATAGCTTCTAACACCCCATGTTAACGTAAAATTGGAATAAAAAGGATAAAAGCCATTATTCATGAATTCGGCATTTTTGACCACCTATTGAGTACTTCCCAACATCTAGAATAGGCAGATGTTACAATTTTAATAATAAAAGTATCATTGTTAATGACTGAATATTGGCATGACTTTAATGTTTCTAAAGTGATAAATTGATACAAGGATAGTCCACATGCAAAGCAGTGGTCTTTATTAGGTTAAACACAGGTTTAAATATACATTTTCTCAAAATGTATAATAAATAGAAACCAGGTCTGTATGTATAATAAATAGAAACCATGGGATTTTTTTAAAAAGGAGCATATTAATTACATCTATGAAAATTAAAGTTTGTACTTTATAGGAATGCTTTAACTATATATAATATACCAGTAAATACCAGTAAATATGTATTGTGAATTGTTTGTTTCCTTTTTACAGCTGTCACGTCTTACGAAGATCTTGGGCTCTTTGCATTTGGTTCCCCTGGGAAGGTAATTTCCAAACTCCTCTTGCAATTAATATGCTGAAATCCAAGAAAGGAAAGATAAAGTTTTATTGCATTAGACTACGCATACTCTAAAGTTCTACAGAGCTCCTGTATTTACATGGAATTTTGTGCATGTAAGAGAAGAAATGTCTTTGTTGATGACTCCCCCAACTCTCCCCTCATTGTTGTTCTTACACCTTTAGAAGGAACAGAATTTTCTTATGTCACTTTCCCACATAATTCTAGAGACTGTTGGCAACTTGTTCATCATGAAAGAAAATTGTCATTAGCTGTGCATGCAAATGTCTCTTTCATTGCAGTGGATGTAAAATATATAAACCTATAGCAGTTATTCTTCTGATTATAATTGTACAATATTTTAAAAATCATCTTAATTTATTCTTCCATTTTTAAAATCATGATTCTAAAATAAATTTAAAAACCCAGGCTGTATAGATATCTAGCTTGTTTCTTAATTCAACAATTTCTTATGAGTTTTTAAATACATGATTTACATCCAGCACCGAATGTTCCTTTTTTCCTTAAACTAATCTACTGTTTTATCAGGTTATTGTGGCCAGTACAATCATTATACAGAATATTGGAGGTAAGGAGAAGCCTTCTATGCATTAAAAGCATCCTTCAGAGAATGTACATTAAACAATCCTTAATTCTGTTATTAACATGTATGAATGATAAGGCAGTAATTATTTGGCATATTCCCAATTCGAACTGTAGAACAATTACTTGGAATATGACAATTACTTCTTATATTTATTTCATTAACTTTATATTACAATTTGAATTGTAGAACAATTACTTGGAATATGAACATTAGACCTTACATTTATTTCATTAACTTCATATTTCAATTTGTAAAAAAAAAACATTAACATTTTTGGTAATTAAATGAAAATAGACTGGGTACATTCATATTTATGACTGCAAATATATTTACGTCCTACTGGTGTTTTCTAAAGGAAAAGGAAGTGGCATAGTCTGTCCCCTTTGGCCTTTCTCATGTAAAATGTCCTGCAGATGTTCTTGTAAATATGTATGTGCAAGGAAGCGTAGAAATTCGGCATGCTAATTTGCTCCTTCATAATTATGGACTTCAGTGTTCTATTTGAAATGAAGCTGGTTTCAGCTGGCAGGTCTGCGGAAACCATTACAAAGCTGACAGATTTGCAATGGGAGGTGGGGAGAGGAAACTTGTGGTCATATATAAGAATATTTAGAGATGTATCAGCTATTTAATAGATCTCTTGCTGTGTGCGATGTTTGTTCAGTAATCACATGAGGTGAAAGGGGTAAAGCAAGTTCTTGAAAAAAATAAAATAAAATGCACTAATTAAAACTATCGATCAAAAGGAGGAATGAATGATAGCTTTTTAAATCTAAATATGCTTCAGGGAAACAAGCTGATTTCAATAGACCTCTAAGCCAGGGATTCTCAAACTGTGATCTATGAACCTTTGTCAGCCTAGAGATCTATCAGGTTGCCTACTATAGTATTCCCATAGTTAGCATTCGGAGGCTACTTGCTATTTCAGCTTCCCCTTTGTGTCTATCGCTAGTGAGTTTCTAATTTCTAATCTGAAAATTTTAGTATTCTCAGATTGTATTGAAACATAACTTCAACCGGCATGTTTTTCGTCGGAGTTATTAGTAAATGGCATGGGGTGCATCCAATAAATATTTAACTTTGTGTTAACATTTTCATTTTAAAAGGCCTTTAAGATGGATGTGATAGGAAGGCATATACAATTGCAGCCATAAATATTATCTCATACATTGGAAAAAACGCCTCTCACAAAAAATGTTGGGAAAGGGCATTTATTTAACTGATGGTCCTTATAATTTCCATACAAATCAGTCCACATTTCCAGAATGTTTTAGAAGCTTTGCCCTGAGTTAATGATTCATAAACTGTGGGTCATAATCCCGGGGGATGGTGGGGGGCTGGAGTGGGTGGACATGAACAAGTCTGGGGGCAGATCATATTCCATCTTGACAAACTGAGTGTTGGCTTGTCATGCAGAGCATGCTGCTAGGAAATTCAGGAAGTTGAAGTTCACTTTTGTTAAAGTTGCTCAGATTGAGAAACACTGGCTTACTTTATGACTAGTCTTCTTTTGCTCTATATAAAAATAATGCAGAATAGACACTATTGCTTTGCCAAGATGCCAGTATTATTGGTGGGGTTTCAGTTGCATTGCTGTGTCCACGATCTTGATTTTTTGATCTTGTTCATGCAGATGATCTTTGCCAAGTCATACAGACAAAGAAAATTGACCTTACGATAACAGGAAAAGCTTTTGTAAATTGAAGGATATTGATTTTTTTGCCTATTCCCTTTGCCATTACAATGGCATATATTTTTGGGGGGGAAGACAAAGTTTGGTAAGTTTTATGATTTATATGGTAAGTTAGAATAGGAGAAGAGAAGAGAAACATTGGAATTAATTAATAGTGTAGATGTAAAATACTTCATTTAAAAACTAAATCTGGAAGACCAACAAAGCATGGTGTAGAAGAGTAATATTGAAATGGATCTAACCTCTCAGTTCTTAAAACACATTTTTTTCATGTAACACATTTCATAAAACACTAGTCCAAAGAATTAGACAAACACTGATGAAAATTGCAAGTAGAGCTTTTCGCTCTCCACGGAACATAATTGCAAGTGTATATGAAATAAACAGCCACTTAAGAGGAAACATCACCAATCTCTGCCATGAGACATCCGTTTCTTGGTAGAGGTCGGCCTAATTTAATCTTTGAAATACCTTCTGTATTTTCCACAACTATTGAATGTTTACAGAGAGATTTAGACTAATTTGAGTGCTTACCCCGTCAGCAGAAGCTATGTTTGGCCAGAAAGCTAATTACCTTACTGTTTTAAATTGAGGATTTCCAGCTCTGTTTTAATTGAGGCAAGTTTGACATCTGCTAGTTGAACAATTTAGAACCATTAAGACTGGTTGTATTTTTCTGTTATAATGTAGTAAGTAGTCCAGGATGTTTTTAGGATTGTGTTTTAAGGAGGGGGCCATTAAAAAAAACACTTGGTTATAGGCTGCATTATTCAACCTGTATATATTATGTAGACTAAAATTAGATGATTTCATTAAATATATTTCTGAATTTGGGAATTAACTGGTGATATGTTGAGAATTATTTGGAATAATGCAAAGGATCTAGCATTTCAAATCCTGTGGAGTCAAGCTTGTTTGTTAGTTTGTCCATGTAAAGCAGTGTTTTTCAACCTTTTTTGTGCAAAGGCACACTTTTTTCATGAAAAAAATTATGAGGCACACCACCATTAGAAAATGTTAAAAATTTTTAACTCTGTGCCTATATTGACTATATATAAAGTAATTTTCCCACGGCACACCTTACACTATGTCACGGCACACTAGTGTGCCACGGCACAGTGGTTGAAAAACACTGATATAAAGAACATTTCTATGTAGGTTCAGCTCCATGGATTTTGTTTGGCATTACAAGAGGATCTTAAGGTAGAGAATCTTATTTGTTTGATCAGTGAGTCGAGAACAGTAAATATAGTCCAACTTTATAGTCCCCCAGGTGTCAAAGAATAGAACTCTCTTTTCTCATAGAGTCATTGGAGCAATCACAGAGAGGGCAAATCACTTTGCAAATTAAATATCCATATGATTGACAATAGGAGTATTAGAGTCTAAAATTTCATGTGGCTACTTGCTGAAATAAAATTCTATGTTGTGCTTTCTTAGATTGTTTCATAAACTTCCATACAACATTATGAACTAAACCAATTGGTGAGGAAAAACTAGCCAGAGGAATGCATCTTTCCACACATCAGATGTTTTTAAAGGTGTCTGGAAAACACTTCAGTAAAGAAAGAGAATCACATGAACTCTCTGACAACTCCTTAAGTGTTAGACACATACCCTCCTTTTGTCACCAAGTTGAAATGCTGGCATTGATGTTTTATTAGTGGACAGAGTAATTAGGGAAAGTTGGAGCCAAGACTCTATGATTGTGAAACTTTGAAAACAAAAATTGCTTTTGTGTGTGTCAGCATTGTGTAAACTGAGGGCGAAGTAATGCATCTTTTGAAGTTCATATTTGTTTTATTATTCTTACATAAAATCATGGAATCATAAAATCATATGGCTGAAAGGGACCTTGGAACTCGTCCAGTCCATTCCCTGCCCAGTGCAGGAATTCTTATTCCATCCCGGACAAATGGCTGTCCAATCGTTTCTTGAAAACCTCCAGCAATAGATCATCCACGGCTCCAAGAGGCAAGCTGTTCCATTGGTTAATTGTTCTCATTGTCAGGAAGTTTCTTTTTAGTTTCAGGGTGGAGCTAAAAACTCTCTTTAATGAGCTTCCATCCATTGCTTCTTGTCCCACTCTCAGGAATTTTGGAGAATAAGTCAACAAGCCCCATTTCTCTGTCGCAACCCCTCATGTACTGGAAAGACAGTTATCCCCATCTTCTTTTAACCACCGTATAATCCCTTGCGGGGTGGTGTCTGGGCAACTGAATGGAGCTAGCAGAGTGTTTTAATGGCTGGATGCCCTTCCTGTTGCCATGGAAGACAGCTATCATGACATCCCTAATACTCTTCTTTGTTACGCCAGACATACCTAGTTCCCTTAACTGTTCCTCATATGACTTATACTGTAGACCTCTTATCATCTTAGTGTGTCAAAATCGCTCTCCCCAGCCTCCACCCTCTCCAGCCTCTGGAGGCTTTCCTGAAGCCTGGGGAAGGTGAAAAAGGCCTTCCCTGGCTCTCAGGAAGGGCAAAAAATCAGCTGGCCTTCGCGCACATGCGCACCAGAGCTGACAACTGGCATGCCACCAAATATAACACGCGTGCCATAGGTTCGCCATCACGGTCTTAGTGGCTCTTCTCTGTTCTCAGGGTCTCAGCATCTTTTTTTCTATTGTAGTGACCATAATTTTAAATGTGGCTTCATTTAGTGTAGCATAAAGCAGTATTATCAGTTCTTGTGAACTTAATTTTATCCCTCCATTGATGCAGCCTAAGACTGAATTGGCTTTTTTGGCAGTTGCAGCACACAGTTGACTCATATTTAGCCTTGTGGTCTATTAGGACACCTGGATCCCTCTCCCAGTTTCTATTGCTGGGCCCGGTCCCATGTACTTACATCCGTGCATTTAATTTTTCCTGCGTAGATGTAGAATGTTACTTTTCTCACTACTGAAGTGCATCTTGTTAGCTAGGACCCAGTGCTCAAGTTTGTCAAAATCCTTCTGCATCTTGAATTTATCTTCCAAAGTGTTAGCAATTCCCCCAACTTGGTATCATCCTTAAATTTGATGAGCTCTCCTTCTCTCCTCTCATCTGGATCATGTATGAAGATATTAAACAGTACTGGCCCCAAAACATACTACATGTTTCCCCATGTGATTCCAGTCATTTTGCAGTATTTCCTCTTATGTATATGCATAAACTCTACCAATGAAACCTAGATTACAATTTCTGTAATGAAAATAAAAGAATGTAATTGACATAATTCTGATCCTTACCTTGATAACAAACTCAATCTTTCTCTATCATGTGCCTAATATTCTTTCAGGTATTT